ATAATAATAATAATAATAATAATAATAATAATAATAATAATAATAATTTCTTGGCCTGTCTATAAAAAGTCAGAGGAGAATATGCGATATAAAAATTTCATCATTGGTGAAGTTCCATAAGAAAAGCGCTTTAAATAATAATGAACGTAATATTTTGTGGCTTCTAGAAAAAGTATCTCAAGCTTAGCAAATCTTAGTGCTTCGCGAAGAACAGTTCATGAAAGCAAAAGTTCCACCTTAGTCTTAAACTGGGTGACATTCTCTCTCACCCCTAGGGAGAAGAAAACAATGGCAGCTGACAGGTGGCAATGGGGAGCTGGTCCTTGAGTCCCCTGCCACTGTTGATGCCGCTCCATTGCCACCTTCGTTGCTATTGCCACTGAGCTGCTGCCTCGCCCGCTGCATCCCTCCACCCCCAGATGCAGTGAGCCCTGAGCCAGGGCTCAACATTTAAAATTAACAGCCCATTATGGTAGCTTTGCAAGGACAAAAGGCTGACTCAGTCTTGATGGCCCATTAAAGGTTTGGGGGGGGGGACTTAGCTCTGCTTCTAACATGGAGTCAGAGCTGAGTTTCCTCCCACCTTTAATGGGCCATCATCAAGGACTGAGCCAGTCTTTTGTTCTTGCAAAGCTACCATAATGGGCTTTTAGTTTTAAATACTTTTGTGAAATAATGGCAGGGAGCAACTTTACCAGTTTTTGTCAGATTTAACAGATTAACAGAGTTGGAAGGGACCTTGGAGGTCATTTAGTCCAACCCCCACCCTAGCAGGAGACCTGACACCATTTCTGACAAATGGCATTCCAGTCTCTTCTTGAAAGCTTCCAGTGATGAAGCTCCCACAACTTCTGAAGAAAAGCTGATCCGTTGGTTGATTGTTCTCAGTGTCAGAAAATTTCTCCTTATTTCCAGGTTGAATCTCTCCTTGTTCAGTTTCCATCCATTATTCCTTGTCTGGCCTTCAGGTGCCTTGGAAAATAGCTTGACCCCTTCCTCTCTGTGGCAGCCCCTCAAATATTGAAACACTGCTATCATGTCTCCCCATGTCTTTACTTGTTTTAGTCTCCAGTATCCTGATTGCTCTCCTCTGTACTTTTTCTAGAATCCCAGCATCTTTTTTTTAATGTGGTGGCCAAAACTGGATGCAGTACTCTAGGTGTAGTCTTACTAAGGCTTTAGTTTATGGAGTGGTATTAGTATCTCACTTGATCTTGATTGTATCCCTCTGCTAATGCAACTTAGGATTGCATTGGCTTTTTGGTTGCCTCAGCACACTGCTGGCTCATATTTAGCTGGTTGTTCACTCCAAGATCCCTCTCACAGTCACTGCTATTAAGCCTGGTTTCACCTAATCTTTTATTGAAGTATTAAATGCACAAAATAATAAACAACTTTTTGGTATATATATATTTTTAGGTAATTAGGACAAAGACGTGACATCGAGTTGGCCACATCCACCCAGTCACATGACCACCTAGTGACATCCACACGATCACATGACCACCTAGCCACGGCCACCCAGCAAGTCATTAGGGCAGAGAGCCCCTTGCTAAAAAATTTGAAACCCATCCCTGATATGCAGTATTTCCTCATGATAATTTCAGTTACCTTAAAATATGCTTCAGGATGGAATATTTATAATTGACTCTATATTGTTTAATTCTGCCTGCTTTAACTTTTGAAAAGTATTGCAAGAATTGTATAACAATGGCTTATACTGTAAAACAAAATAAACAAAAGCAAAATAGAAGACAAGAAATTACATGGATAACTAAGAGGGATTCTGCAATAAAGTGTGGACAAGTCTCCAGGGTCAGCCCAATTAGACCTCTGAATTTAACAGATTTAACAGAGTTGGAAGGGACCTTCTAGTCCAACCCCACCACCCAAGCTGGAGACCTTACACCATTTCTGACAGAAGGCAGTTCAGCTCCTTCTTGAAAGCTTCCAATGATGAAGCTCCCACAACTTCTGAAGGCAAGCTGTTCCATTGTTCTCACTGTCAGAAATTTCTCCTTATTTCTAGGTTGAATCTCTCCTTGATCAGTTTCCATCCATATTCCTTGTCTGGCCTTCAGGTGCTTTGGAAACTAGGTTGACTCCCTCCTCTCTGTGACAGCCCCCCTAAAATATTGGAACACTGCTATTATGTCTCCCCTGGTCCTTCTCTTCACTAGACTAGCCATGCCCAGTTCCTGTTAATAGTTCATCATATGTTTTAGCCTCCAGTCCCCTAATCATCTTGGTTGCTCTTCTCTGTACTCTTTCTAGAGTCCCAACATCTTTTTTCTAGTGTTGTGACCAAAACTGGATGTAGTATTCTAGGTATGGTCTTCTTACTAAAGATTTATAGAATGGTATTAGCACCTCACTTGATCTTGATGGAATCCCTCTGTTAATGCAACTTAGAATTGCATTGGGGTTTTCTTTTTGGCTGCTGCTGCACATTGTTGGTTCATATTTAATTGGTTGTCCACTAAGACTCCAAGGTCCCTTTCACAGTTACTGCTATTAAGCCTGGTTTCACCCACTCTATATGTGTACTTTTGGTTTTTCTTGCCTAAGTGTAAGACTTTATTTTTTTCTACACTGAATTTCAAATGAGCTTGCAGATGTCATTATAAAGTCCTTTTTCTCTATTCCTTATGGAATCACAAAGAATGGCCATAGTGCTAGAAAACTGGAGAAGGTGAAATGCTTTTATCTTCAAAGAGAATTCCAAGGTAATTAAAGACCCATCAGTTTAACTGACCATGGGAATGTGATGGATATAGCATATCCTGTAGAATACCTTATAGAAGGCACAGCAAATAGTCTTGAAGGACATGAGGAAGAGCTTCTACTAAAGCAATGATCCTATTAAAGCATAGCTTGAGTACTTTCCAAGAAACTAATTTGAGAAAACATTCTCAGACAGATCCCTCTGTCATTCATATGAAAATACAATGAAGGAGAGGGAAGCACTATCAGCAGATTCTGTTATTATATATCAGGCCCAAACAACAGACCAACATGTGAAGAGTTCAAGTTGACTATTGAAATTCTGCTAAAATACAGGGATTTCTCCAGAATGCTTGCCTTCCCTTGGGAACAAATAGATAAGATTCCACAGAGCTGGGGAAGAGGGGTGGTATCAGTCCTGGATCTCTTGACAATTCAAGGTTGACTCCCCACTTGATTCTTCCTCTCTACATGGCTGGACATTTCCCAACAGCACAGCTGTTCCAATAAAGTAATTTTAGCCCTATAATGGTATTGGTTTCTTAGTCTGTCTACCCTATAGGACTGTCATACTTTGATTTCAGCAAAACATTCAATAAAACATTCAAAGCTTTGGGCTGGAGTTTCATTAGATCATTAGATGCATACAGAATTAGTTGAATTATTTGTTTGTTTGTAAAATTTATTGGCCGCCCATCTTACCACAGGATAACTCTGGCCAGCTTACAATCATAAAACATATGTCTATACATGTACAATTAAAACATAAATAATTAAAATCAACATTAAAACCTGGGGAGGATGGGGGCAGAGTGGAGGGAGGTGGAATCTGTTATTACTCAATCAACCACCTCCCACTGAGGCACCAAGCCTACTGGCAGAGCCACATCTTTATGTTATGCTGGTTCTGAGGTATGGCTTGGTAAAATATAGACAAAAAAAACAACAGAAGTTGCCTTTAAGCTTATGTGTTTATTCAACTGAACAAAGACGGGCCCCTTTAAAAGAAAGGAAGCACCAAGTATCAAGAAATGCTTGCATTTGTGTTCTGTTAGTACAGATGTAATCCAGCCAGCAAAGCTGGCACACAAGAGATACCGAAGTCACCCAGCAAGGCTGGCACATGATAGATAAGGAAAGAAGAAGATAAATAGTCATCTGCCCACCCTTGGAAGTCTTCCAAGGACATCAGGTGTCAGTCACCCTAGGGGCATTGGGTGTTTTCCAAGGAGCTTTCCATGGTCTTGAAGAAGGTATGCAGAGATAATGGAGTCGTCTGCACATACAGGCCTTCTATGCTTTCTCCAAATTCCTGGTCAACATTTAGGCCTTTACGAAAAGATAGGAAGGTTGGGGTCAGCCTCACACAGAGGGGGAAAGACATTCCAGAGGGCAAGAGCAACAGCAGAGAAACCCTCCTCCTGGATCCTGACAGCCAGAATAATTGGGCTGATGGGACCTGCAGCATACCTCCTCTGATGGCACAAGTGGTACGGATCAATGCTGGTGGGGTGAAACAGTCCCTCAAGCAACCTGGGACCACACACACACACACACACGGCATGTGCAGTTTTGTACATAGGGGGAGCAAAACAAATGTGCAGATTTTATATTGGGGAAATAAAACAACCACATGACACAACAAAGGACAAATAACTCATCAGGACAGGATTCAACAGTCCATCTGCATTTGAAAGACAAGGTTTATGTTCTGAACAGAAAGGACTACTGGTTTGGAAGAGGAATTCGACATTACTTATTTCCTGTTTACAATGCAATATTTTCAGCAGACCCTAGACCAGGGGTGTCCAACCTTGGCAACTTTAAGACTTGTGGACTTCAACTCCCAGAATTCTGGGAGTTGAAGTCCACAAGTCTTAAAGTTGCCAAGGTTGGAC